TTGGCTATAGGGCGCGTGTGCTCGCCAGAAAGACAGAGCGAGACAGAGAGACAGAAAGCGAGAAATCACCCCCCAGGGGGGATGGCCACGCCACAGTCCCTTCCCCTCCGTTCTCCTCTCGGGATCTTGGGCACGCACGCACACATGCCCAGCTTGAATTTAAGCCACCTGGTCCAAGACTTGAACCGCAGTCAACTACATGAGAGTCCAGAGACATAGCCATTACGCCAACTGCTGGTCCCCCTGGTCGTTGCTTTCAATGAAACTGAGTATTCCTTTGAAATGCCTGTTGGCATAGTAGGGACAGGAAGTGCACGTACCTTGGAAGTCTCTATTAACGCTCAGTCAGTGTCTTAGAAACCTCAAAATGAAAAAGGCCACTGTGTTCACAATGCGCTAATGCGGGACCTTGAATATTTTTGGTATTACACTTTTCTCTTTATTTCCCCCTTGAGATTAGCATTCACATTACTTGATACTTAAACCACTTGAAGATCATGTTTATCGAAGCACTGGAGAGAAATGGTGTGACCAGGTGATATATAAAAGCAGTGGCATAATGGCTATATCCCATGTAGTTGACCGCGGTTCAAGTCCTGGACCCGGTGGCTTAAACTCACGCTGGGCGCATGTGCATGCATGCCCAAGATCCTGAGAGAAGACTGGAGGAGAAGGGATTGCAGTGTGGCCATCCCCCCTGGGGGGTGATTTCTCGCTTTCTGTCTCTATGTCTCTCTCTGTCTTTCTGGTGAGCGCATGAACCCTATAGCAAAAACCTTAAAAAAAAAAAAAAAAAAGGCAATGGTATTACCACATTCTACAGGAGATGAAACCTTGACCCAGACCAAAGGGACCTTCTTGGATTTCCTTCTAGGGTCAGAAAAATCACGCGCCACCTGAATTCCATGTTAGGACGAAGGCATAAACTCCCTGCTTTCCACATTCACCTCCTCGCCGTGTCTACACAGCTGACCTCTCCGCTTCGTCAGCGTCCCTGATTAGCGGGGTTTCTGTGCTCCTTGCGTCACAGTGACTATTTCAAGCAGCTGAATTATCACCTCCCCTGTCCTGTCTCCCACCTTAAATTACAAACAGTCGCCTTTACTTTAAAACATTTACAGGACATCTGATCTACACGTTATTTTGTCAACTTCTAGTTCACACCGAATCCTAACAAACCTCTCTCCTCCCTCTCCCAAATATAAAACCAAGTGGTCAGAGCCATGAGAAAAGCATTCTTAGGAATTTAAATGTCCCAGAAGTTTGGACATTTCTAAATAAATAAACTCTCCTTTTAGGGATAGCTTTCACAATATCTTAAGCAATATATATATATATATATGCATATATATACATATATATATATATTTTTTTTTTGGAGAGGTTTTTGCTATAGGGCGTGTGTGCTTGCCAGACAGACAGAGAGACAGAAAGCAAGAAATCACCCCCCAGGGGGGATGGACACACTGCAATCCCTTCTCCTCCATTCTCTCAGGATCTTGGTCACGCACGCACATGCGCCCGGCGTTGAGTTTAAGTCACCGGGTCTGGGACTCAAACCTTGGTCGACTACGTGGGAGTCCAGCGACATAGCCATGACGCTAACTGCTGGTACTGCAAAATATATATTAACCCTGGAAACGAAAACATATAAAATGCTTAATACACAAGATACTCAGTTGAGAACAAAGTATGGTCACTTGGCACTGAAGCAGTTTTTTCTTGTCTCATGACATTAATCAAATTAGTTAGCAATTTCTTCTGGCTGTCACAGATGCAAAGCTTGAACCAATTTTCATCCAGGTGGTTCAAAACAGTAAACCACAGTGATAAGGTGTCTTTTAACCTTAGGAAGATAAACTATTTCCACAACTACTGGAGTATAAAGTAAAACACAAGATGAGGAAGCTATGAAAGGAGAACCCACGCCCCTACTTACATCAAGAGAGCCTTCATTTATAACGATCATTCCCATGTTCTTCTTCAAAAGTTTGCAGGAGTGGCCTAGGTTCAAACACAGAGTCAATTAACTGATACAATTAATTTCTCCAGAAAGAAAAGTTGATGTTAAAGAAATAATGTGCTCTATAGGTGATTTTATTAGGAATTATGACTGTTAGCTGTTTTCCAGGATGATAAAAGGTTTAAAACAAATGCTCTTAGGGGACTAGCAGTTGGTGTAATGGCTATGTCGCTGGACTCCCATGTAGTCGACTCCGGTTCGAGTCCCAGACCCAGTGGCTTAAATTCACGCCTGGTGCATGTGCGTGCATGCCCAAGATCCCGAGAGGAGAATGGTGGAAACGGAATTGCGGTGTGGCCATCCCCCCAGAAGGTAATTTCTCGCTTTCTATCTTTCTGGCAAGCGCACGCATCCTGTAACAAAAACCTCTCCAAAAAATAAACAAATAAAAAAAGAAAGAAAACAAATGCTCTTACTGTAGGAGGGATCTGATACGAAAATACCTGGTTTGTTACACTGCCTTGATAAACAGCTGTGGAAAGAGACCATGGTAAGGATTCTCGATGTCCCAAGAGCTGACAAATGTCTATGGAGTAGGACTAACGTGATAGCAAAGATGGACAATGACCGCTCCATAGGAGGGTGGGCGAGGGTGGTCCCTCGAATGCTCCTGCCTGGACTATCCTTGTCTTCCTTGCTCCCTCTTGCTTTGCTCAGCGTGGTGCAGGGCGCCATCCCCTCATTAAACGCAGCACTGTCTACTCTGGACCTGTTCACTACACATGAGTGTAGCTGGAGAAAAACAGGCAACCCGGCTGACTGGTCTCACATCAAAAAAAAAAAAAAAAAAAAAAAAAAACCAAAAAAACAAACAAAAACAATTGGGACCAGCAGTTAGCGTAATGGCTATGTCGCCGGACTCCCATGTAGTTGACCGCGGTTCGCGTTCCGGACCTGGTGGCTTAAACTCATGCCGGGGGCATGTGCGTGTGCCCAAGATCCCGAGAGGAGAATGGAGGAGAAGGGATTGCAGCATGACCATCCACCCTGGGGGTGATTTCTTGCTTTCTGTCTCTCTCTGTCTGTCTGGCAAGCACACGCGCCCTATAGCGAAAACTTCTCCAAAAAAAAAAAAAAAAAATCACTGCATATAAGTAATACCTTCTAAGCTCACTCCCTTTGAGTTCTCCTCCCACTTTGTGGTTGTTTTTGTTTTTTTGCTAGAGGTGCACGCACTTGCCAGGGAGAGGCAAAGAGAGAGGAAGAAGAGAAAGCACCCTCTCACGGTCACACCACAATCCCTTCTCCTCCATTTCTCCCTTCTTTCTGAATTTTGAGCACACACACACACTCTCAACCCAGTATGTGTTTCAAAGCCATTAGGTCCAGGACTCGAACCGTGGAATTGGCCACAGGGTATCTGGCTGCCCTACCCACCAGCTCTCAGATCTTCAAAGAGCTCAAATCCGGGTACACCCGCTGAAAAGCATCACGATCTCAACCTCGAATGAAGTGAATTACCAATGTTAATGGCAGTTTCTTGCTTGTCCCCGGTGAGGATCCAGATTTTGATGTCTGCTTTCATCAACGTTTCGATGGTTTCAGGCACCTGATCTTGTAATTTATCCTCAATGGCTGTAGCTCCAAGAAGCTGAAGGTTCTAGAAGAAACATGCAGCAAGAATGTTAACAACAAAACTAGTTTAGATTCCTTAAGTACAAAAAAATCGAAGCATATGACTGGCTGGGGCATGAAGTGGGTAAGCACTGAACACAGGGAGCTGGATACCACATGGCCAACTGAGGTTTGAATCCCAGCCCCAGAAGTCAGACGTGCACATGTCAAGAATCCTGGTGAGACCTGCAGTTGGCGTAATGGCTATGTCGCTGGACTCCCACATAGTCAACTACAGTTCAAGTCCTGGACCCAGTGGCTTAAATTCATGCTGGCCATGTGTGCGCGCGTACCCAAGATCCCAAGAGGAGAATGGAGGAGAAGGGAGGACAGTGTGGCCAGCTCCCCTGGGGGATGATTTCTCACTTTCTATCTCTCTGGCGAGTGCACGTACCCTATAGCAAAAACCTCTCCAAAAAAGAAAAAGAAAGGATAAAAAAAAAAAAAATCCTTGTGAGACTGAGTAATAGCAGAAAAAGGTCTATGGATTGTGGTGTGACTATGTTCCGTTGTGGGGAGGACGCCTTCTCTCTCTTGAGAGTGCATGCGCTCTGGCAACTGAAAAAAAAAATTTGCAGGGGCTAGCAGACGGTCTAGTGGTTACATTGCTGGACTATCACATAGCTGAACACCAGTTGAGTTCTGGACCCCGTGGCTTGAAACTCACCCTGGGTGTGTGCATGTGTGAGCCTGTCCAAGACTCCAGGAGGAGAACGGAGGAAAAGGTTGTGGCCACATTGCAGTGTAGCCATGGCCCCTTAAAAAAAAAATCAATTGAAGTGTATATATTTGCTTTAAAATCAGAGACTAAATGATAATTCATGGTCTCTGGTGTAAATTTCAACTATGTCATCACATATTTTTAAAATTTTTTCTTAAGGATCCTTGACTTTTTAAAAAATTTATATTTATTTACCTTCATTCACTGTACAACATTACAACATACAAAATGAGATTTTCCATCCAGAGTACACTGTATATTGTCTCAATGGGTGGGAAAGGAATGGAAGACAATTATAGACCCCAGAGATAGTGTGAGAAGAGGGTGGGAAAGGGCAGGGGGTCAGAAAGAGGCGTAAAGAAAAAATTCTAGAAGCTAGAAATGGAAAATTTTTGATAATAATATGCAGGATTAAGTCACTATGCACTATATTCTGGATGGGAAATCACATTTTGTATACTGTGATGATGCTTAGGGAAGTTAAATTAAGTTAAAAAAAAAAAAAAAGGATCCTTGACTTTTATCCAGAACTTCTGGCACGAGAACTCCTAAATCCACTTTACCTTACTCCTCTCTAAAGTAAGGAACTCAAGGAACCAGCAGTTGGCGTAATGGCTATGTCGCTGGACTCCCACGTAGTCAACTGCGGTTTGCATCCCGAACCCAGTGGCTTGGAACTCTTGCCGGGCGTGTGTGCGTGCGTGCCCAAGATCCCGAGAGGAGAATGGAGGAGAAGGGATTGCAGCGTGACCATCCCCCCTGGGGGGTGATTTCTCGCTTTCTGTCTCTCTGTCTCTCTCTGTCTGGCGAGCGCACGTGCCCTAGAGCAAAACCGCTCTGAAAAAAACAAAAAACAAAAAAAACTTATGAAGTAAGGAACTCATTCTAAAACAACATGAAACACAGACAAGGCATGGGCGATCAAAAGTCAGCCTAAAAGGAGCAGGCAACTGTTAAGAAAAAATAAACACCCCGTGGAGTATGATGACAGCGAAGAAGTGATCATGCTGACCTTCTTGGAAAAGCGTAAATACATGCTAATAGGACTACATTTTCATTTGATGCAGTGTCGGGAAATGCACACACATAAGAAATGATAAGGAAGAGGAAGATAAGACTATAATGTCTCTCTGCAGCATTGGTTCCTGCGAGCGTGGGCAGGTGGCGTGTCTCACCCCATCCCACACTGATAGGGTGGGGGGTCAGCTTTTACTGAAGACCTCCTGCTCTTCAGATGGGTCTTTCATTTAAACCAAACATGAGTAACGTGCTCTGTGGAAAACCATTCTAATCTCTACTCCTGTCTCCTTACACAGCGGTTATGGGGAGAAAGAACAATCTCTTGGGTGTTAGGAAAACCTGGCTTCACCAAACAGACACAGGACACAGTGTGGTCCTAACTGCTGGTCCCAGCATTTATATTTCTTCTCAACCTTTATACCTCCCTTGTTGCCATCATTGCTTATTTAAAATGCAGGAAAAAGCAGACTACAGGGAAATGAGTGCTGTGGGCAGTTTCAGAATGGGTAATAACAAAAATCGATTCTCTCTAAAATTAGCCTAAAGTTCCAGTTAGGCGCAGAAAGTAAAGTTAACTATGTACACCAACCAACATGGAAGAAAGTGAGTGAGTGTATGAGTGTGTGTGTGTATTCCCAAAGATTCTTTTGGCTGCAAGTAACAGAAAAATCTGACCAACAATGGCTGACATCAAGGAGCAGGTTTCCTCAAGTACAGAGGATTGAAGTAGGCGGCTGGGGACTGAAACGTATCTCAGCACACCCTCCGGGCTCTTCGCAAAGTCTCCAGGTGAATTTCACTGGAATAATTATAACGGCCATATTGAATGAGGAGCTAATACCGACTGTATTCCCCTCTTACTTAAAAAGCCAACATGTGGGAACCAGCAGTTAGCGTAATGGCTATGTCGCTGGACTCCCACGAAGTCGACCGCGGTTCGTGTCCCGGATCCGGTGGCTTAAACTCACGCCGGGCGCGTGTGCGTGCGTGCCCAAGATCCCGAGAGGAGAATGGAGGAGAAGGGATTGCGGCGTGACCATCCCCCCTGGGGGGTGATTTCTCGCTTTCTGTCTCTATGTCTCTCTCTGTCTGTCTGGCGAGCGCACGCGCCCTACAGTGAAAAATCTCTCAAAAAAAAAAAAAAAAAAGCCAACATGTTCCTAAAAGACCATAGTGTATTTCCCAATGTGGCCCCATTGGCCTGACACTGTCTTGTGGCCACGCCCAGCTATGAGTAATTAGCTCTTCCAGGCTTGGTATGGAGGAGTTGAGGAAGAAGGAGATGTGAGTGAGAGTAAATGAGCCAGCCAGCAGGCTCTTCCCCAGTGGGCATGCATGTGCACAGCGCCTGTTATGTGTATACTTAGCTATGTGTGCACACATGCACATACAAATGCACACATACGTACACACATGTACACATACACACACACGTACACACACGCACATACACACACGGTCTTGCCTGACGTACCTCAGCTCATCCTGTAAAGCCAAACAAGTCACCCTTTCTTTTGGGCTTTCTTTTACTTTTTCAAAAATTATCTATTTATTTATGGAGAGATATTTGCTATAGGGCGTGTGCGCTTGCCAGAAAGAGAGAGAGAGACAGAGAGACAGAAAGCGAGAAATCACCCCTCAGGGGGGATGGTCACGCCGCAATCCCTTCTCCTCCATTCTCCTCTCGGAATCTTGGGCACGCATGCACACACGCCCGGCGTGAGTTTAAGCCACCGGGGCCCGGACTCGAACTGCAGTCGACTACATGGGAGTCCAGCGACATAGCCATTTTGCTAACTGCTGGTCCTGGCTTTCCTTTACTTTTTAAAACAGATTTTCCTCTCTGCTGCACCCTGGCAGAACTCTGCTCATCTTTACACATCACAACGTATCATATGAAAATCAGCTGTTTAGGGACCAGCAGATGGCGTGGTGGATGGTGGTTATGTCACTGGACTCCCACATGGCCAACTACTGTTCGAGTCCCAGATGCGGTGGCTTGAGAATCATGCCGTGTGTGTGTGTGTGTGTGTGTGTGTGTGTGTGTGTGTGTGTCCAAGATCTCAGGAGAATGGAGGATAAGAGACTGTGCTGTGGCCATCCCACCCTGGGGTACGGGGTGATTTCTCACTTTTGCTCTCACTGTATCTGTCTCTCTCTTTCTCTGGTGAGCACACTCATCCTGATGCAAAAATCTCTTAAAAAAAAAAAAAAAGTAGCTGTTTCAATGTATGACTTTGGTCGATTTGCTCAACAGGAGGGACCATGTCTTGTGTACGCTCAGTGAGTTAATGACAAAACAAAAACAAAATCCAAATGTCATAAAATATCATTGCAATCTCAACCCCTTTCTTTAATATATTCCAAAGAATGTGGACAGCGATTACGTGTTTGATGCATGACTTCTTAGTGTGTAATATATACAACAGGAAGGTAAATTTCCTTCTCTAAGAAGACAGTATTATTTTATTATCTTTAATGGGAAGCAGATTTGCCATCTCTCATAACCTGATGAATAACTGTCATTAAAAAGTTCTGGGAAGAAAAAGGAACAGTTCAGCATCAGTTATGCTGGCGTCGCAATCACTGCATTTCAACATTTGGATGATGATCCTATCAATACTTTTTAGCTCCTTTTAGGGCATTTGTAGTTAAAATGACTTTGGCTCATATCCCAGTGAAGAACAAGCGGGATCTGTGTTCAAATTTTAAATATTCCACAGAAGGTATGATAAGGTATTTTTAGTGATCATGGGTATATGTCAGTAATACTGGCTTGTTGTTAAAGGCATGACACATTTTTGTGTAGAGAAACATAGAAATTACATCATGACTTTTCTAAGAACCCCAAAAAAGGTTTCAAAATTTTCTAAACGACAAATAAAAGTTTTTCATAATATGTTTTACAAGACACTGGAGTAAGTAGAACATGCAAGAGCCAAGATGTGAACACACTTGTAGACATATGTAAACAAATTTATCTGCATGGGACCAGCAGTTAGCATAATGGCTATGTTGCTGAGCTCCCGTGTAGCCGAATGCGGTTCGAGTCCCGGACCCAGTGGCTTAAACTCACGCCGGGCGTGTGTGTGTGCGTGCCCAAGATCCTGAGAGGAGAAGGGATTGTGGTGTGGCCATCCCCCCGGGGGGTGATTTCTCGCTTTCTACCTGTTTGTCTCTCTGTCTTTCTGGTGAGCACACGCGCCCTATAGCAAAAACAAACAAACACCTCTCCAAAACAAAAA